CTCACTCGAGTTTATCACTATTTACTATTTACTTTCAGTTTAAAAACTGTTTCATTTACTTTCGTTTTTCCTGCCAACACGAGTTTTAAAAACTAATCTGGAGAGAGGGTGCTACAATACTCTTCTCCTTCCAAAAAAACAAAACGTTACGACAAACTTTTGTTTTTACATACTCCTGCTCCTTGTGGCTCTGTGTGGGCTTAGACTCTGTCAATCCGCCACTGATGGACGAAGGCAGACCTATAATCACTGGCCCAGCGAGGAACAACACCTCCCGGGGCTTTCCTTTCAGGTCGCTAGGTGACCCGATGTGCACGGTTTCAGTGCGTCCCTTCCTCAGCCCAATCAGCGAACAGATATGTTGGAAATAGGGTCACGGCACCAAGAAATGTTAGGTATTTTCTCTCGTACCCAACAGAAAAAAGAACACCACACAGGACAGAGTAAGATTTTTGGCCAACGCTCCTTGCAAGGAGGAAAATCCATCTCTGGTCTGAAACTAGAGGTGAACTCCAAAGCCTTGCTGTTAGAACTGACTTTTATTTGGTAAAAGTGACACATAAGTGTTTGGCTTGGAACGCTCTTTGATCAGAACAAAACATCTTGTTCAGTTCAGTTGATTAAATGCTTATTGTAATGAGTTTCTGTACCATCAGTTGAAATCATCTGTATCAGTTTAAGGGTGAGGAGAAAAACAATGACAGTGCAAGATAGCTGGAACACTACTTTAAACTTTGGCATGTTTGGTTTTTAACAAACAGTTCTAAGTAAAAACAGCTTATGTAAATACAGAGAATTACTATCAGCTCGGACGTGGACTGATAGTTCCAAAAACTTTTGCTTTGTATGCATAGAAGTACAGAAATCATGAAGCAGTTTAAAATGATAACATGAAAAACTCTTACAGGCTTTATAAGTAAAGTATTATCATTATTATTAAAAATGCTGCAGATCTGAGGACCATTACTAATGTCACATGATTCATTTAAAAATGTCAGTTTGTTTTTTTACATTACTGATAATTTGTATCTACAAGTTAGAGTTCTTCTGAAGTGTTACAAACACAACTGTTAGTGCAAACAGGGGTTGATTGGAAGATTTTATTGTTTATAAGCTCTTAAAAATGTTACAGATGTTGCTAATAGTAAAAGGTTCATTTTGAATGAATGTTACAAATGTGTTCATTCCTACAAAACAGCTAACAAAATATTTATAAAATATACAGCATTTCAAATGTTACTGATTGAGATTAACATAAAAGAAATGGTAATTTATGTTTAAATATCAGTTTTCTGCTGTAGTAAATCATCCGTTTTGTCCCCTTTGTTTGGGACTGGAGCCCATCCCCGCTGCTTTTGGGTGAAGGCAGGGGACACCCAGGACAGGTCTCCAGTCCATCACAGAGACAAAGAGACAAATAACCATCCACACTCCCAGTCACAGCTAGGAACAATTTACAGTCACACAGAAGAGTCAAAAAAGGATTCAAATTGAGGACTCAAGTTCTCGATTGAGAGTTCTAATCACTAATTATCAATAATAATTGATCATATTTACCATGCTAAATCCTTACTGATAATCACTGTGGGGAGATTTTAATAATACAGATCAGATCAGATGTGATCCGGCAGTCATATATTCACATGTATGTAAATGTACTATACTATAATTAAAGGTGAGCCATGCAAATTTGTTTGTATCAAACAAGTAGCCCTTCGTGTCATTCGATCCCACTGAAGTAGCTCTCAGTCTCAAAAAGGTTGGCGACCCTGGAAATAAACAGTAGGAGATGACAAAAATATTGTCAATTTCAAGTCATTTTAGAGGTTGATTTCTAATTCATATTTTAAAGAAGTACTAACAAATTACTTTGTAGTCTTAATTTTGTCTTCTAAAAGTGGGATTGACAGAAACACACACATTGCATCATTGGGTAAACTGCACTCTGTAGGGATACAGTACCCAATTATTATTGGACAACAATAGGTATGAAGTAGGAAATAAAGGTTTGTATGCAGAGACTTGTGTGGCTCAAAGCAATCAACAACGTTTATGAACTGATGACCTGTGAGTGTTTTCAGAAAATTTACATCAGTGCTCAGTCTCTGTGTAATGTTTATCTAAAAGAATTGTGGTAAATGAGATTTCTTTACCAACTTATTAGGTCATCATGGAAACAAGAGTTACTCTCAACCTAACTTATGTTGTGGCTAATATACATCTCTGCTATGAGATGAATGGTAACAAAATTACCATGAACCCTTCTGCTGCATGTGTGATGTTCTACTGTTTTCTTATCCTTTTGTCTGTTGCCACAGTATGTGGAAACCTCCTTGTAATAATTTCTGTGTTTTACTTCAAACATCTCCACACTCCTACTAACTTCCTCATTCTGTCTCTGGCTGTGGCTGACCTGCTTGTGGGGATCATTGTATTTCCTTTAGGCATGGCATTCTCATTCACCTTATGCATGTTCCAAGATGATTTAATTTGTAAGATTCGAGACAGTTTAGGCACATATTTTTGTACTTGCTCTATTTTACACCTATGTTGTATTTCAATTGACAGATATTGTGCAGTTTGTCAGCCATTAAAATACAAATCTAAAATCAGTCATCATGTTATTGTCTTTATGATTACTGTAAGCTGGGGTGCTTCTGCACTTATTGCAATTGGATCAGCACCAAAATCAAAACAAAAATGTCAAGAAAATGGTTTTATTGAAGTTCTGATGAAAAATATACTTGGAACTGTTTTATCTTTTTACCTTCCACTTGTCATAATTTTGTGTGTTTACCTGAAGATTTTTTTTGTTGCACAGAGACAGGCACAAAACATCCAAACCAGAATGAAATGTGGAGCAACTATCAGTAAGATGGAGAGAAAGGCCACCAAAACTCTGGCTATTGTTCTGGGAATTTTTATATTTTGCTGGACTCCTTTCTTTTTTTGTTTTACTCTTCTGCCATTTACCAATAATTCAATGACAGTTCTTATGCTTGAAGCATCTGTTTGTGTTGGACTGACAAACTCAACATTAAATCCATTGATTTATGCTTTCTTTTACAGCTGGTTTAAATCAGCCTTTAGAATTATTATGTCTGGAAAAATATTAGATAGTACCTATGCTAATACAATATTAAATTAATTCACTTTTTGTTATAAACATGCTATACTTTTGAAATGTCAGAAATAAAAACACACAAATCATAAAACTGAATAAATTTCCATACATTAGCTTAATTTTGATAAAATTTGTGTTTAAGAAGGATGTATGTAACTAAATGTCTGATTGTAATTGTGCTGATAAAAAATACATTAAATGGTTATAGTGCAATTTTATATAAAATTCCTTTTAATTTCTGATTCAAGTACATTAAGCTAAATACTGTCAATTAATGGTCTATCTCACTTGTGCAGCATGTAACACCTGACTGCATATGGTACTGTAGGTTCTTTGAGCTACTATTTAACTTTAAGAAATTAAGTTTTATTTTTAGGTTTAAAAGGAAAAAGACAGTTTCACTCAACTTACTGCTTTTAGTGCATTGTCACTGCAACGAAAATGGTAAATTCTTCTGAAGGCTGTTTTTTGTGAAATCATTGAAATATATTTGTTGATTGTGTTTTAGTCTTTATTATTTCACAATTACTTATTTCATTGTTGTTTTTTTTAGAGCTTCAATGTTTTATACAAAAATTGCACTTGCATCTTATTTAATATAGAGCTCAATGTTATTCAGCTTTTCCACTGCATGAAATGCTCTGTTATGTAAGATGGATGCACATGCAGAACAAACTCACTCCCATAACCATGGGAAGTCCTTAGTGTTGTTGTCTCCGTGTTTCATAAAAGAGATGCAGTAGTCACAGGCATTAAAACAAGCATTAGCAAAAAAAACCTGAGTGTCAGGTTTATGCTCCATTGTGTTTTAGAAAGCTGAAATCAGAGATACCACGTCCATTTAAAAAAAAAGTTCTTATTTGACATTATCCTTTGTTTAACCTCCTTTAACATTTATCACCCCCCCCCCCCCCCGCCCCCAAACTTACATAATTTCTTAAAAAGAAAACATTTTAGTATGTTTTTTTCTACAATAAACTAGTAAATATTTAGAGCTATCTCAGTGTGGCACCCCTAAAAAAATGATTACCACATTTAAGTGTTAAATTGTGAAAGATAATCACGCAATAATTTTGGTTAACGTGGAGAATTGTTGTTTAATTAGTGGTACATCTAGACCTGAAGTTCAGGCAAAACCTTCATTATGCATTTCTTGTTCAGGGGACCTGAAAAGGGCATGTGCACAGTGTTTCTTCAGATGCAAACGTTGGTTACGTACTGTAACCCCAGATTCTATGAGTATAGGCGTAGCCCTTTAAGAGCTGTCGCTTAGTGGGTTTATCCCGTTATGCGGTGCATTACACTGAAAAATTTAGTCCATGCCCACCTGCTGTGTGGGCCCCACCCGGTCCGTATAAATTACGTTAAGAGCGGGAAATCGGCTCCCAAAAATAGCTTTTTCTTCAGCCATTTAGGAGCCAGTGAGGCCCGACGCTTAAAGGGCTACGCCTATACTCATAGAATCTGGGGTTACAGTACGTAACCAACGTTCTATTTCGTATAGGCTTCGCCCTTTAAGAGCTGTCGCTTAGTGGGTTAAGGGCGAAGCGGATGTTGTCCTCGCCTCACTGGGTCCATTCGAACACCGTATGAAGCAAAAGCTTGCCCAAAAAACGTCTTGTCACTCAGCTCCCCATGTGCGTAATTACGCATTGCGTAATTTTGTGTGCCATGCACAGAAGCATGTTGTGTAACTATGCATTCTGAATAAATGAACACCCCGGAAAACTTCAACGGGGAGGGAAAAAAGCTGAAAAGAGCCATGAACCAACCGGTTTACGGCTGAACCGTATGAACAGATTAATAATAACAGGAGAGCTGATTATTAATCAAATGAACTGATTGGTAACAATAGTCGTGAACTGATTAGTGACAATAGAACCAAAGTAACAATCACAACTTGTGACTGATAACATCTCACACTGTAATGCATGCAGACAGATGTGAGTAAAACGGAGTCCCATGAAACAACAATATTCATTCTGTAAAACACTAAAAACAGAATGTGTCATGGAACGAGCCGTCACATCACCTAGATAAAGCGAATAAATGAGTAGGGTGTTGACCACGCAGCCGTAGTGCCAAATGTCCTGCATTGACATACCATTATGCAAAGCAGTCGAAGATGCGATACCCTTGGTCGAGTGTGCTCTGAGGTTGACAAGAGGCTCTAAATCTGATGCTCTGTAGGCTTCAGAAATGGCCTCACACAGCCAGTGTGACAAGCGCTGGGTGGATAACGGGCGACCTGCAGATGCATCTCTATAATGCACAAACAAATGTTGACGCATTGCAGCTGTGCACGCTATGTAACACGTCAACGCCCGCACAGGACAGAGGAGATGAAAAGACGCTACTTCTTCTGATCTTTGTGTGAAGGGGGGGGGGGGGGGGGCCCCCTCCAACGATATCGCTCTTGATTTAAAAGAGCTCGTGATGTTTTTGGGCATAAAAGCTGGGTTTGGTCTTAAATCAGCTGGGCTGCCGTCAGTCTAAATTCTGAGACATGACAGAGCGACAAAGAGGGCAGATAAATCAATCACCCTCTTAGCGAATGTTAAAGCCAGCAGCAGGGCTGTTTAAAGAGACAAGAATTTAAGTGGAACCTGGTCCAAGACTCTAAAGCCCCTTATCCACAGGGCCTTTTGGGGCTCCTATGTAACTAGTTCGGTCCGATTGCGTGGTTTATTCACAATGTCTTCAGCGGTGGAACCCACCCCCTTTTTGGGACCTACTTCTCTGAGGTCCCAGGTCTGGTTCTTGTTGGGTCTAGATGTGACATCAGCGCACTGTAGGTCACTGATTGGTCAGGGGGCGTATTCATTGGTTGAGGGCGGAGATCAAGGAGGTCATCCACTTTGGTTGTATGTTGTTTTCTGGCTCTTCTTCTAATACATGTTAGTGGTGCTTAGAAAAGAGCTTAATGTAGCACTAGCGCCACCAGCTGGTAAGGTGCGTTGATATTAATAATCTACCCACTAGAGGTGAACAATCCGCCCACTAAAAGGGAACTATGGACACTGTTAAAAGAGGTCCCGCCAGAACAGGACACAACAGGGTCCAACAAGGACTGGCCCTGTGGATAAGGGGCTAAATGAAGCTTTGATCAGGACCTGCAGGACCAGTATTAAATCCCACTGTGGAACAAGTGGGTGTGAAACAGGCCTGCGTCTCTGTACACCTTTTAGAAAAACGCTTCATCAGTGGATGATTAAAACCTGTTCTGTCTCCAAAACCTTCGTGGCAGGAAGAGATGGCTGCAGCGTACGTTTTAATTGTGCTGGACGCCAAATTTCTGTCCATCAGCTGCTACAGAAAGGACAGCATGCCACGTAATGGGCATGAGGAGGCCTCTACACCCTTCTCTGTACACCAGCGCTGAAAAGCTGTCCGCTTGATGTGTACATCGCTGTGGTAGATGTAGCACGTGAAAACAGAATTGTGCGCACTACATCCTGTGGGAGACCCATCCTCTCTAAGCGGATCCGTTCAGCGGCCAGACCCACAGGTGCTGGCCTATTTCTGGGTAACTCCTGGTTGCTCCTCCTGCCTGGAGGAGAGTGTCCTCTCTCCACAACAGTTTCCACGGGCACCCCGACAGCAGGCGTTGCAGGACTGGTAACCATGGTGCGCTCACGCGTTCGGGGTGTCTGCTTTCCGATAGGCAAAGGTAACCACTGGAGGTAGCGATAACACCTTTGCCTGCAGCCTCTCCTCCAAGGGGTCCGGAAACTCACTTCAGCGCCGTGGTATTACCTGTAGCTGTCTAAAGTAGCCTCGTTAAGGCTGCTGTGAGGTGATTCATCCAGAATATTAACGACCTTAAATCCGTGAGTCACACCCTGATCTCACTCTGTTACCTCGATCCTTCAAGCAGCCGGGATGGATCTTCTGGTCCAGAGAAACTCGCGTTGTGGCCGCTCACCTCTCACTTTAGCGTTGCAATTGTTAACTGTTCTGGTAATCTTTAGGGCCCTGGAAACGGGCACAAGGATGTTGTTTATCAGCTAGGAAACCTTTACTAAAACCTCCTGTTATTGGTGTTGTTAAGTGAACCAAGCATTTCCATGTTTTACTCTTTAAGGGTGAAATAATAGTCCAGATTTGTACGTTTTGCTTTGCTTTTAATCAATAGTTTGCGCAGGGGTACAGCAACAGGCACAATTTTATAATGAGTAATTTATCATGAGTACATAGGATACACTTTCTTCCCTAGACAAGGCGATGACTACTATCTGTGGAAATTCTACACCTCAAGAGCCCTTGAGGGTTTACAGATACTGCCTTCACATAAACCTTTCACAACTCAAGCCAAAAAATGTTCTCTCTCAGCTCCCTCATGAACCAGAAACACCTTCGAGCAAATCTCACTAGTAGCCAATTTAGTACTCCCAAATTTATTCTGTATGCTGTTCTTCCAATTTGATGAAACAATTTAATTAGAGCAGAGTAAGAATGAGGTCGTCCGCTTACCATGATTTTGGAATGCCCCTTAGTGAGACACTTGTGGGGGTAAGGGCAAATTTCCTGTCCTCTAGGAGAGAGGCACAGGCCGACCTCTGAGGCAAGTGCAACTATTTCCAAATTAGAAGATCAGAGTTTGGACGGGCCCAGGTCATGCAATTTTAGAAGTAGGAAACTCGTCCAGTTAGAGTGTTGACGAAAGAAAGCTTACATCCAATCCCATGTCAGTGAAGAAAAGAGTTAACTTCCATCATCATCTCAAAACTGGTAAAATCCAATCTTCTTTTTGGGCTCCTTCTGATCCTGATGAGCTGCCCCATGCCTGTAATTCTCTCTGCTCAGCTCCTCAGCTCAACTCCGACTCTGCATGGACCCAGTATTGTTCTGGTCAATCTGTATTTAAAGACTCATTCATCCCTCCTCCTCTTAAGGAGGGGTTATGGAAAATTACATCATCTCTCTTCCAGTAACTTCTCTGCTGTTTTGCACCTCAACCGGTTTAGACCAGTTTTTCTGGTACTTTCCAGAACTTGTTTTGCTCAAAGATGAGTCATCATGAG